TTCGATTGGCTTTTTTGGTGAGAACTTGGCAAGACTTGGCACGGTTTGGCAGGGCTTGGCAGGTTTTAAAACCCAAGTAAGATCACGTGATAAAAGCCAGGTAAGATTATGTAATCTGACCCGACTTTTCTTACATAATAGAACAGTATTAACTATATGTTGGGCACTAGTTGCCCAGGCGGCCCTCCACCGCACGTGATTACCCCTATATAGTTAGCTAGCGATCGCACAATGAGAAGATCAACCATCCCACAGGTTATGGCCCGGATTGCAGATTTTTAAGAAAAACAGACGTTTTGATTAGAATACGCTGCGACTGATGTTATATTGGATGAGTTAAACATTATTCCCCTGAAAAGAGAGCTCTTTGCCTATAAAAGTGGTGTAATTGACGGAATTGCTGTCGAGACTGCTGCAGAGATTTCATTACTATCTTGAAGGGATCAAAAACTTATTTATTTATTTTCATTCAGAACCTCCCTAAGTCAGATTGATTATGAGTGGTTCTCGATTACCTGCGACCCCAATATCAGGACGTAAGAAGACACTACGTTCGCAATCAAGGGTCCCCCAATCCTTCCCCCCTATTACTGAGCAAGAATCCGGCTCAGAAGCGGAGGGTGATCAAACTGAATACGCGATGGCAGAGGAAGATATGACAACCTCTGGCTCCGCACGCGATACTGGCAAGATGCCAGAACGCGAGGAATCCGAGGATGGCACGCCCAGTCCTATGCCGATACCTACGCCGAATCCTAACGGCATGGTGACCATGGCAGCAGCAGATCTCATTGCACTCTGCGAGCGACTGATATCAGCACGCGCGCCGCCACCTCCTCCACCTCCTCCGAACCCTATACCAGAAGAAGATCCGAACATGCTGGCTCGCGAATACCAGAAGGAAGCGCAGGCCTCGTTGAACACAAAGTCCGTCACCACGTTCGATGGCACCAACTACCAGACGTGGAAGATGGCGTTCTTGTCGGATGCAGAAGTGATCGGTGGTGCAGATATTCTTAATAAGAACAACAGGAACTACCTGAGGTTATCATCGCTCGATCAGCGATATTGGTGATACGTTCAACTCTCTCGTCGCATGTGCATCCTAGTAGTCTGTCGTTGACATGGATCATCATCGACACGCGCGTCTATGACAGTAGCGCAGTATACGCGATA